GGGTTTAGGCTTTAGGGTGGGGGGGTTTAGGGTTTCGGCGCTCACACTGGGACACTCCAAGCGAGGCATGTGATTCGAAGTCTGCTTGAGATCCCAGGGTTCAGGGTTGGGGTGGGGGTTTACGCTCTCACAACTCGGACAAGCCAGGCGAGGTTCATGGTGCGTAGTCGGCGTGAAATAAGAAAGACAGTCCACAATCAAAGGCCAAGCCAGAAACTAAACCCAGTGTGGGGGTTTAGGGTTCCTAGTTAAGGCAGCGTTAGAGTACACGGCAGAAAAATTGGAACATCATTACCCTCCTACCCTTAGGGTCAAGTATAGGGAGTCCCAGCGCCAATCATCTTAAATCCGTGTTCCAACTTTCTGGCTTTCACTGTAAGGGTTTCGGGCAGACCCCTGATGAATAAACCCCCATTCCCAATATGATCCCTATCACTTTAAGGGAGAGGGGAAAGTTGAGTGGCTTGCGGAGTTTGGGCACTCGCACTTGCCTGGGCCCTAGGCGAGGTTCCCGGGGGTTGAGGGCTTGATATTCAGGGTGTATCTGTATCTAGCCTTTAGATGTGTTTAGGTTTGGGGTTTGCTTAGAGTTGGGTTTAGGGCACGAGTCCGGGCCACGTCAAACCCGCATGTGCTCCCCGGCAGTGTGCTGACAGTCCTTGGCTACGGCATCTACCCATCGTTGGACTCTGCAGGAATCGTGAAGGCACAGCTACGGAATCGGAAACCCCAGGCGTGCGCTCGAAAAGCCGCGACACCGTGATTGCTCCGGCCCTCAAACAGCGCAATGTCTCCGAGCGACATTGCATTTCCCACCCTTCCCACCCATGATTTGCAGTGAGCGGAATATGCCGAAGTGCAGCTTGTAGATACTTGTGAAGGCCGGGTAGACACAGAGGGCTCGAGGCTTGAGGTTGCCGGAAGGACTCAGGACACCTTCTGGGAAGGCAAGACAACAGGAACCAAAGCAATGAAGAGGAAAAGAACAATTTATGGATGTGCCAGTCGAGGGGAAGCCTCGAAAGGAAAGGACACGGCGAGCTGCAACAAGAAAATGGCGTAGTCACAATGTCACAAGGCGCAAGGTAGTGACGAACGCATGTTCAAGTTCTGCCACATGCTGGCCATCCAGATCCGAGCACTGTTCACAACGATAAGCCGGTGAAGTGAAGCTGCATAAACTATAAGAAACAGACCAGGAAGCGCGGTGAAAATCAAGGAAGACGTGGATCTTCCAAGACGCAACCGACGAGTGGTAAGGAAACAAAAAGTTGACATGCAGAAACCGGGTCCTCTTGAGTTTTGTCAGTGCTACTACTGCTCGCTTTCTCGCCCTGTGGAGTATGTGCCAGATGAGACGATGCCCTCCTTCTGATCCGAGGGGAGGTCTCCTGCTTTATGACTTTATGAAACTCCCAAGACCAGGGAGGCTCGGAAGTTCTTCTGACCCCAAGGGCTCAAAGGCAGCTAGGAAACCACGGGCAAGCACGGAGAGATGGGCCCGAGACTCATAAAGAAGCATGAGGTCTCGAGCCTCCTGGCCCACGCAACGGCCAATCGCCCGAGTTCCGGTCCCGACATGCAGCCGCCCCGGGGGCAACAGCAACGATTCTGTTTCCATCTGGTGAAATTGAAATTAGGGGCCTTGGTGGCTGGGTGTTGAACACAGATAAGTGCCAAGGGACCTGCAACACTAAAGAAGCCAATTCTATGCGTTCAAGTCCCACGCATAATTATCCCCAAACCGGAGACACAATCAACCAGGATTGCGACCGAGTGTCACTGAATCCTTGTGAAGCTCGACCAGGGCGCCTCCGCGAATATGAACGGCCACGTGTGCAGCAGCAGCTGCAACCAGCCGCTTTTTCAAAACATCGTCCTAGCTGGGATGCCGGAAGCAGGACTGATGTAAAAAGAAACGCGGCACCCTCCGTATGTTCTGCAAAATGTCCTCGAAGGCCATCTCGTCGCTGCCCATCCGTATCTTTAAGCGTACCTTTCCCTCCGCCTCTGTAAATCCGGAGATGAAGAACGTCTTGGCTTTCCTGCGCCACAACGCCACTCTCTCGGAATCAGCCAAAGGGCCAAAGGACATCCGCTCTGGCTCAAAGTGCATCAGCAAAACTATTGCAAGGGCCCGTGGAAGGGAATCTCCTTCCCGCAAAAACTGGAGCTGTGCGCTCATGGCCGGGGGTGGCGGGGAGGGGGTCACACTTGCCACCTTCCCTGAACGACAATGCATGCGTTCTTCCCGCCTCATCACCGCCCGCTGCTTGACGAACAGGAGCGCCATGAGGCATGGAACGACGATGACATAGGCGAAGACGCTGACCCACCCGACCCAGTCAACCTGTAGCAGGAGGGCCATGGGGGCCAAGAGACAAGCCACGCGTGAACCGCTGAGCTTCCGACCCAGGCCGACTCGTCGTCCGCATTGCACTTCATGTGAGGAAAAAGCGGTCGAAAGGCCAAGTCGGCTGGAATAGCATTTCCTGCGCAGATCGTCGGTTTCAAAGCTAGATGGCAGAGTCGTAGAACCAAAGCAAGTGTGAACGGCCGTCCTTCACCGTCCAAGCGCTGACATTCCAGAAGTTGGGCAGCACCCGAGGCACCCCCTACGAAGAGGATCGTCAGAGCCTTTGAAGACATGCTGATTCCTGAAGTCAGGTCACTTCAACGTGCACTCAACCCAAGGTAGGGTCTTGAAGTAATTTATGCAAAAAGCAACCTGGGATTCCTGGTATTCTTGCAGCCTCGACTCCCAGCCCATGGCTGAAGAGCTCGAGGCACATGCAGGCAGCCACCACAAAGAGAGGCACCAGCGGAGTTGCCAATCCGAAGGCCATCCGGACCGTTGGGGCGTCGAAGACGCACTGCAAGGCGAAGGCATTCTGCACCTCCGGCAAGGAAGGGGCAAGGAAGGACTGGCATGTGTTCCTTGAGGCTATGCCCCTGTGCATGGTGAAGGCCTCTGCACCCGTCAACTGCAGGACCTCCATGTATGATAGTAGACTGTCACCTGGGATGGGGCTTCTAGCAGACCGTGCACAGCCAGCATGAAGCCTGCCGCTGCTGCGAGTCGCTGGTGTCACCGACCGCAACGGAGACCTCGGGCACGCGCCTCACCAGGTTCCTGAGGCCGAAAACTCAGATCCGAGGGCCCCAAGGCCCCACAGCTCTAAGCCTCCAAGCCCCGGGCTTCCCGAGCACGGCCCAAAGCTGAAAAAGCTGCAGAAGCGCGGGCGCCTGTGCGGCCACAAGCTGGCCCAGGCTCTTGGCACGGAGGTCCGTGGGCATAGCAGGCCTGGCCGGGCTGGTGTGCTAATCGCAATGTCTACGAATTCGTGACACGGCTGCTGTAGCAAAGGTGGCACACCTGCAGGCCCAGAAGGCAGCGCCGGAGAAAAGAGCGAGTACAACCGCGACTAGAAAGGCGAAGCCGGAAAACTCTTTGGACGTAGTGGACATCTCGCCACATTGGAAGCACTCGTTTCTGAAGGCTCTGAAGCCGGCCGCGCAGTCCGTGCACAGCGGGCCGCCGTAGCCTCAGATTCGAGTCCACGTGCAACTCTTGAGTGGCTTCCTAGGCTCCATTGAAATCGCCAACCATGCTCGGGAAAACAAGCCCTTCTACATGCGTTTTTACTCGCCGTTATCTCGAGTTAACGATTTAGGTCTGAGGTGCATGTGGTGACTGTGGTGAGCATCCTGAGCGTGGTGGTCGTGTTGGGTTGACTTGCTGTTGTAGTTATTGTAGTTGCTGCTCTTGTAGATGATGTTGTTGTGGTGGTGGTTGTGGAGCATGGTTGTGGCGGTTGTGTTGGTTGTGGTGGTTGTGGGGGTTGTGGCGTTTTTTAAGCATTCCCGGAGACAGTCCCGGAGTGAAGTGTGGTGGTTGTGATGGTTGTTGTGGTGGTCGTTGTGATGGTTGTTGTGATCGTTGATGTGGCAGTTGCTGTGGCCATTGTCGTGGCGGTTGACGCCGTGATTGCTCTGGTGGTTGTTGCAGTGATTGCTCTGGTGGTTGTTGTGGCGACTGTGGTGGATATTGTGGCGGCTGTTGTGGTGACTGTTGTGTTGAACCGTGCGGGTAGTGCGCTTGATATTACAGTGCCGGCTGTGGATGCAGCTGTCTGTTTTGTTGTTGCTGCTCTGCATCATGGAGTACCTCGGCATGTCGATTGCAGGCGATATCGACAAGAAGACTGCATGGACACGACGCCGCGAACATACCCGACCATTGCCCATGACGATGCCACGACGTGACTACAAACAAGGTCATCGAGACCGCCTACAACTTCTTCAGGACGCTTGAAACAACTCCGGTCAAACCAGTGTGTGTCTGTGTGCCCTTTATGTCAATCCTTTAACAATGAGTACTGAGACCGTTTTGTCCAATTTTCACATGAGTACACGGTTCGGCAATACGCCCGCCACGCGCAGAGCACGCTCGTGCAGCGTCCAATTGAAAAAATGTGTTTGTGAGTGAGTGAGTGAGTGAGTGAGTGAGTGAGTGTGAGTGAGTGTGAGTGTGAGTG